TTCGTTTCTTTCGCTTCGAGAGTATTTTTTGCTGGCACATTCAATTGCGCTGGCGACGTGATTTTCGGTAAAGCTGCGTCCGATTTTGTATCGATTCTCGTACTAGGCCTCGACGAAGAGAAACCACTCGGTACAATGGCCGCTGTGGACAGCGGTGTGGTATTGATATTTGTTGTGGTTGTCGAGGAGTTGAGAGTCGCACAACTGACTGGAAGTGTGACTGGAAGTGTGACTGAAAGTGTGACCGGTGGTGTAACTGTGTTAATGTCGTCCGCTTGAATCACGACATCCGGATTGATTTTGTTCTCTGCTAAAAATGCAAATAAAACAATGGTTATACGAGTCAAGATAAGAAAAAAGAATGGACAAAGAAAAATAAAATGTGTTTCTTTAGATCCTTTAATATATAAGAAATATTGTTATTTTTCTACACACACTTGACATACAATATTATAAATTACTTACCCTTTCCTGATATTGCATTAAACATACTTTGAAGTCTGGCTTTCATACTGTTTTGCCTCATATTTCGTATGTCCTCTTTCTTTATTTCTTCCACATTGTCCGTCGCAAACCTGACTTTTATATTACCCGGTTCCTCCACGAGCGACTTCAACTCTTCGTTCCGTTCAGGTTCAGCTCTCATAAATAGTTTATCCGTCAATTTAATGGATTTTGGCGCAACAGATTTGTTGTTATCAGTTTCACTAGTACTTCTCACATTCTTATGAACTACAGACCCTATTTTCTCCAAACTGAGCCTGGATCCTTTATTCGATGATTTCAATATTCCTTTTACCAGAGGAAATTCCTCTGCTTTCTTAGAATTAGGAATCTCGGGATTTTTCGTATATACTTCTTTAAATTCAGATTTACCATCGTCTAAATCTATAACCTCTATAATCTGAGACTGTGGCACAATAGGTGAGCTACTAGACCGTGTGCTTTCCAGAGATTTGAAATGCTTTTCGAAGTCGGGTGTACCGCTGCGCGAGAAATCAACTGTAAAAACAAACATGTTGACGTTGATAAATATATCTATGTACATCGAACAATTTGCTGATATATAATTAAATAAAATTTGATACCTACCTGCTTTTCTTTTAACTCCAGCGGCAGTGTGGGCGCTAGAACTCAAAGAGTTTAAGATATCGTAACAGGATTGGGTTTTTGTACGTTTTGCAGGTCTGACAGATTTACTTTGGGGAGAAAGATCCTCGTCTGATTTAGATGATTCATCCCTACTTCGTTTCTTGTTTTCTTCTAGAATCATTTCTCTGTCCTCGTTAAAGTAGTCTGTCCTCTGCTTTTTAGGGACGTCAAAGCTAACATCCTCCGTCGATGCGTGTCGTTTCAACGATATCTCTCGCAAGACCTGGACAACGCTTGTGGGCGATCTGTTCTCCGTGTGGCAAATATTAGACAGAATCTTTTGCCTTTCAGGTGGAGAATATTTTGTCACATCCGGCGGCGCCACTCTGACCGTCACAGGCATCCTCATCTTCGTCAACTTGGCATTCAACAGAGGAATCGGGTTTGCATGTAGATTAACTTTTGGAAATTGTCCAGTGCCGTACTGAGATTGATGAATTAATTTATTCTTTGCTTCCGTGGCATACTTGGTCAACCTTGTTGTAAGACCCGGCGATGATACGTCCGTGTATAGCCTGCATTTCGAAAAGGAAATAGAATCAGTATAACAATGCCAAAAAAATATAATTACTTAATACATGATTCATAAAAATACACGCAAGATTTGTTATAATCCTACAAGTGTTTGTAGAAGTAATAAAAATAATACAAATATTAGAACAAGAAATAAAAAAAAACATATACTTAAATTATATATACACAAGGGTGTATTTACTTGGGATCAATATTGTATCTCGTGGATGCTAACAGTGGCCCAGCGACTGTCTGGACCGTTTTTACTCCGGCTGGTCTAGGGCGCATCTTGGGGCTGATACTCATACCCCACGGAGAACCTTCGGGACTGAACTGCGTGACATTCTCCCCGCGGCTCAGCGTATGATTCTGAGCGTGCATTGATGGAATCTTCTTGGATATGCCATGCGACTGCGAGATCAGATCGCCGTTCCGTGGGTTCTTCTCTTTGTCGACGGGTTTCAAGACGGGTGTAGAGGTGTGCTTGCCACAGATAGATTGCTGCTGTCGCTGCGACGTGCAATCGTAATCACCGGCGTGATACAGTCTACTGTCCATCCCGAGCGCATCGTTGACGCGCGAACAATGGGGAACGCACGGGATCGGGCTCAACTGATCGATCAAGCCAAACCTGGACGACGACGACGACGATAGCGATGACGGCGACTCTCCGCGCTTGGCAGCGTACGAGTCGCTGCTGAGCTGATAATTGCTCGCGCGTCGCCTGTCCATCCTGAACGGAGGGAAACGCTCGCGGTAACAACGGCTCGCACTGTGCCAGAGCTTACACACGTAACCGGTACCGTGGACGTGGACGACACGGAGGGCCGCGCCGAGCTCGTGAATCGCCTCCCGCAGGTAACCGAGAACGTGATACGCGTGCGGCGACAGCAGACTGTCGTTGACGAGCAGGGAGTAGCACGCGTACACCACCAGAAGCAAGGTGAACGCCAGCGCCAGGATAGCGCCCCAGGCGTTGTATATCAGCACGCACCCACACGTCACACTTAACAACACCACGGCGCCGCGACTACCGAGATCCCACATAGTACTGCCTCTAAGCGTATAACCTCCCCATGTTTGAAAAGAGCACACTCACCGCAGCCGTCGGAACGTTGCCGCGAACGGTGAGATCATCGATAATATATCGATAGTCGGCGCCCGTGGGGGATTCGATGCATGTTTCC